ATTACGATTAAGATCACCGACCGGGCGCTATTTTCCCCGTTTCGCGTGGTTCTCGTGCAGGATTTCGAGTCCTGCCGCCCACCGGACGGTGGTCTCGCTTTCTCCCCTCGCTTTCGCTATCGCTAGCTCGTTCGCGGCAGTCGCACCGCGCGGGCAGATAGGGAAAGTTACTCGCGACTTGTGAAAGGTAGAGCGCGGCCGGCAAAATGTAGGGTATTGTTTTAAATGAAAGGGGTCGCCAATACGGCGGTCTCCTCTTTCCTTCCTCCCTCTTCGTCCCTCTATCGCCTGGACAAAAACACCGCAAGTTCGCTCCTCCGTCGTATTTGTCGCAACGACAATCTACATACACACGCACGTGCGGGAAAGCGAATAACGTCGTCCCGTGTCGTCAGTCGCGACCGACATTCCCGTCGGCGAATCGATATATCTTAACCACCTGTCGCTTGTTACATTTCCTAATAGTCCGTTTCGATAATCGATACCTTCCCGCGCGGTGCAAAAGTTTCCACGCGCCTGACGCGTGTTCTCTTGCATCGGCCGCTTTTTGCACCGGACTTTTATGGCGTGAAAGAGCGAGAGAGAGAGAGAGAGAGGAGTCTTCGGCGCGGCCGGTCACGTCGCTCGATCATCGGAACCCCGCGAGAATCCAATTTTATTCGGGCGGTTCGCGGCTCTGCGTCGAAGATCGACGGCTTGCGGGCGAGCTCGGTGTTATCGAGTTTCTGCGGGTCTGCACTCGAGGGTCTTCTTCGCCCGTACTTGCGAGCCCTTCCGCAGACTTGAAGTGACGGCGGTCGTTTCTCACTAAAGACCTCTCTCGAAGCAGGTCTACCTACCTACGATCACCGCGGGGAAAGCTCGGCCAGCGATAAGTATGCGGGTGGGCGCAGTTCTCGCGCCTCCCCGCACTTTCCTCATTCTTCTCCTTTCCGTTCCTCCGCTGGGAGGTGGGCCCCTTTCCCCTCCCGTCCTTTCTCGTGGCCCTTTCGACGCTCACACGCGCGCGCGCCTTTCATTCGGTTAGTGAGACATCAGCGTCTCTCTCGAGCGCTTTGACTCGCTCATTTATTTACACCCCGCGAATTTACGAGACGTTCCTCTACGTGCCTCGGCGAATTTTATGAAACGTTAACCGGCCGAATAAAAGCTTCCCGTGTACGCGCCCCTGAATTAATAATAACAATGTCGAGCGTGAAAGCGAGCGTGCGCTGACCACCTGTTAGCGGGCACCGTGAAGAAAAGGGAAAAAATATCCACGGAAAGAGGAGCAGCGATATTACGGAGGCGTGACGGACGCGAATGAGGCTCGAAGAACGCCGAGAACGAAACTGAACGGACGCGATGATTTTCCTTCCCACCGACCGCGACAACGCGCGTCCGCATTAATTTTTCGCATCGATCTTTCGCATCGCTCTGTCTCTCAGAGCGCGAGGATAACCGACGTCATCCTACAATGTCGTATGATTCTCCTGAGTCGCCCCCATCGTTCGATATCTCCCGATAGTGAAAGATTCCCAGGCGCCTCTCGTCTAGTCTAAGCTGGAGCTCGTCCGATAACCCATCGGAAAACCACGTTCCCGTTCGAACTTACATTCTCGCGGACAGCGCGGAGGAAGAGTCGCGCTCGCCTTTTCAGAATTGGTACCGCGAAACCTATATCCGCGTCTATAAAGCGCAGTGAACGCGAGCGGGTGCAACGAACTCTGTCCCGTATCTCTCTCTCTCCCCCCCCCCTTTTCAGCATCTCCTCCTGCAACGGCTCGCATCATCCCACCCTTCCCACCAGCCCCCCTCGCGCTGTCTAGCTCTTACGTCTGGTGTGAAGCCCGCGCGGTCTCTTGCCAGCGAGTTAAAGCCCATTTTCGCGTGCTTCTCTCGTGTCACGCTCGCCATGACATCGGATGTGACGATGCAATTCGCTGTGAAAAGAGAGCGCACCGTCCGTCACATCGGCGGACGATCGTCAAGGCACCGATAGCGTCAGCCTGGCGCGCTGATTAAGAGTCATCGCGTTTAATACGCAGCCGATAGCGCGCGGGCGCACGGGATGCACATCGCCACGTGTGGCCGCCGGCGGCGGTGCACGTTGTACGCCGAAGGACCGCGTCTTAATGTCAATCCGATGATGACGAAGATGCGCCTTTATCACCTGTCTATAGCGATCGTGCACTTTGATTACGTCGATATCCTTTTAAAACTCAGGGACCCATCCATCCACAGCGTAGAAACGACGAGAGACGGAGGAGAGAAAGAGAGAGAGAGAGAGAGACCCGGTAAACAAGAAACATTAAATCAATCTTTTGAAATATTGACTTTATGTGGATTTTACAAACATTTTGACACAATATTTTATGTGTTTTTAAACTGTTATAATATTGATAATATTTCTAAATATTATATAAAATCATATCGTGTAAATATTATTTTAAATATTCGCGTCAAATATTGTTAACAATGACGTTATATACAGCGCTACATATTTGAAAACGTTAAATGTTATAAAATATCGTTGTACTAATGATTTCTTGCTTACTGGGAGGGATTGTCTCGAAGCCGGGTCGTTTCGCGTGTGGAAAATCGATTTCGCAAGGGGGAAAGGGCCGCCTCGCGCTCTCGACTCTAAGAATGCACTTTGTGTCGGAGCGAGGACGCGGGAATGCAGCCTGGCGTCATTGGCGTTGCTCAGACGGCGCAGCGCGCGAGAAGGAGAGAGGAGACACTCTCCGGAGTCCTTCCTATAAATTTAGCGTCCGGTTATGAATAGAGACTCAAGCGTGACGACGGCACGCGCGCACCAAGTCCGTTTACCGTAAAGTTTGCGGAGCCCTCTCGCCGAGCCCTTTGAACCCGCACTCGATGGAATCATCTCGTGTGCCTGAGCGAATGAATCGCGAATCACGATCATCCCTCCCCGTACTCGGGCGCGCGCGCACGCCGACCGCGGCGTATGCGCGAGAGATCGAATGACACGTGTGCGATTACGTGCATCACGTAACGCATCGTTGTGCGATTGTTACACACACATACAGCTAGCTGTATGTGGCTGTGCGCGCGCGCGCGCGTTGCCCGAAGTGTCTCTCCGCCGGGGAGCGTCCGCGAAAGTAGTTTGCTCCTTTTCTCGCGCCTAATGCCCCACGCTTGCTCGCTCAAATCGGGCCAGCGATGGAGCAGCGGCGCGCCGCAGGTTAGCCGCAGCATCTAATTATAGTGGCGCGCTAATCAGGTCGTGATATGAGGATTTATTTATGCCGCGATACGTGAGGACACACCGCGCGCCGCGCGAGCGAATTAATAAGTGTGCCGATGCTTGCGGGGGGAATGATAGCGCGCGTTCACCGATGTCGTCCTTGAGCCCCGGCGAACGACTATTTTCTATGCAAGGTCGTCCGAGACTTTACTAACCTCGCTTATCGGTTTATCAATGTCATCGTCATCGGACGGATGTTTCGCGATCGCCCGACACCGACCTTCCAGCGGCGATCTCCTCCCCCCTCCCCCCGAAGCACGCGCGCGCACCTCGCGTGCCGCCTCCACGGTGCTTCCTTTCGCGCGAGAAACCGCTATCGAAGCATGTCGGCAGGATCTCGCGTGTTGGCTAAGTCAGAAAAAAATTAGACGCTCCTCTTTAATGATATTAAGCAAGCGTGATCGTTCATGCACCGTTCCACCTCAAGGAGCATATACATTTTGCAAATCTCATGCTTGTAATCCTTGCATTCGCGCTTTATTCCACACTGTCACAAATTTCTCGTACCGTATCAATATATATGTATATCTTATCTTGTGCGATGACATCCGTTGTGATCTTTTAATAAGCACAGGATGTCTCTGAGACTAACAGGGACAAATTTCGTAAGGGCATAGAACGGGTTAAATTAGGACAAGTCCTGTATTTTCCAAACGACCACGCAAAATTCTAAGTTAACTCAATAATTAATAACTCGAAATTCTGCGTGTTCGCAAAATGGCACAGGACTTTTTCATTCACCTCAATTTATTCTAGTCCCTCGCTAAGTTTGTCGATATTTATCCGAGACACCTTATATATCATCTTGAGCGATGACATCCTTTGTGTGCGTGTATGTATATATGCGTGTGTCATCTTTTAACAAATATAATATAAGAAAACATATGATTAACAAATTTTTATACACGCATATGATCAAACATGAGCGCGAGCGTGGTATGGTAGATAGCGCACTAGTCTACTATGCTAGAGGTCCCCGGATCGCTTCCCGGCATAAACCAGACAATTTTTCACACGCTCGTAGCTCCTCTTCGGTGGCCCGGCAAACCACCAAAGAGTAATCTCTTGCCAAGAAAAACTTCTCTCCAATTTTGCCGTTCGGAACCAGCGTTAAACTGTAGGTCTCATATGCATGTTATACGATCTGTGTACGCACCATGCTAGCTTCCGTAGGGCTGATAACCCACGTGGAGCGAAAAGCATCTATTCAGAGATAAATGAAATACCCCGACGCTTAACGGCACAAAGGGGAAGAAGAAGAAGAGAAGAAGATGATCAAACATAACATATAAACCATTGATTAACAAATTTATGCATACATATACTGAGAAAAACGTCCGATCATATCTGATCGGATAATCCAATTAAAAAATAATATACGGATATATTCGATCAAGTCGTGTCTTCATGTGATGAAAATTACAACGGATATACGAAAGGCGACTAATTTCCCGATTACGTTTCATCGGTAACTTCATCGGATATTTCATCGCGTAAAGGTGTCCATTACTTGATCGGATAATAAAAATAACAATCGGATGCATCATTTAACGGGTTTATCCGGAAATTTTTCTCAGTATATGATTAAACATAATACACGAATATATGATTAATAAATTTATAGATACATATGATTAACATTTCAATATAATCGCGACTGCTCATCCGAAGAAGAACGCTCGTCATGCGCGCGTTGATTTCATATGACCAATGTACACCAACCAAGTCGTTCCCTCACGTGTGTTTGCAGTCTGAACAAGATGCACGCGATGGAGGGTGCCAGCGGAAACGGGAAGAATGTGGACGCGGCGGAGAACGCGCCGAACACGTCGCCGAAGGTACCCCAAAGCCAGCAGAACGGTGCCGCTCTGCCTGAGGAGACCGCCGCGTCGCCCTCGGCGTTGGATTACGGTCGTGTGAAGATCGAGAAGGACGTTAAGATCAACAAGAAGAGCCTGCCGGTGACAAGCACGCCGATTGCGAGCACTTCGCAGCAGAAAGCCGGCTCGTCGCGCCTCGTCAGGTCCAAATCGGCCGAGATCGTCGGCAAGAAGCGAAAATCCCCGGACGTGCTGCGGGACTCCACGAATGGTCCGCCTAAGCCGAAAAAGAGCTGCTGCTCGTTTGAAGAACGGGAGACCTCCATCAAGTCTCTCGTCGGCGAAGACAGAACGGCCGATGCGCTGCGGATGAGGGAGAGCGAGCTGTTGAAGCGGATGCAGGTATGTTACAGTACGTGAAATACGTACGCCTTGTCTCCTCGAGATATCGTTCGCTCTCTTAATCTTTGCCAGTCGATCCCTAATCTTCACCGAGCGTGTGTTGGCAGTTCCTCGAGAAATTGGCGAAGGACAAGGAGAAGGAATGGAATCAGATCCTGTACACGAGGAAGCTGACGGAGGAAGCGTACGTGAGGATCCAGAGGAAGAAGCACATGATGAGACTCACGAATAGCACGACCCAACTGGACGACGTGCCCCCCACCAGCTTGGAGGCGAAATGGCTAAACAGCGACGGAACGTCGATGGAGACCGGGTCGAGGGAGAGGACCTTCGAATTTAAAAGCGATCTTTCCGAGGAAAGCTCTCTGAACGCGTCGTCCACCAAGAAGCAAAACGTCGCGAAGGCTGCCCGGCAATCGGGTTCTTCGAAAAGCGGCGGGGAAAACAGCCGCAAGCAGAGCGAGCAGACGTCGAGCCCGGAGACCCGGCAGATCGGCGAGGGCCGTCAAGGTGCGAGAGTGGAGGTGACTTCCATAATCGCCAATCACAGGAAGATGTTCCCTGACCCGGCGCCGAAAAGGTATAACATCGCTTAAGGCTCTGGAATAGTCGCCGCGGCCGTATTGGATTCGTGACGTCACAGGCGAGAAATGACACCTTGAGAGATACTGCGTGCCGTTTGCGGCTCAAAAGATATTTAGATAAAATAACACTCGAGATCGCTCGAACACTTGTGAAAATGGACGAAAACTCGCCTTTTCCTTGCTAGATGGCCAATAAATAACCCCGTAAAAGATACGTGAAATAAAGCCCTATTTATGTAGGAAAACACACGGTTTTACAGCTATTGAAAGGAATGGAAAAGTACGCTTCTACGTATAAAATTCCAAGCTAATCTCGGTTTTCGTCCTTTTTTACGGGTTTAACAAATATGTCACAAGTCACACCTGCATAATTAAACAAATAATAATGAAATGGCACGCAACAAGAAAATTTCGTTTCGTCAACATGTCACTCTTCACGCATATAAGTACAGTCCAGTGAGCGCTATAAATATTTCGAAGCGTTTCTCCTTCTTTTTCTTCTTTCATTCGTATCCGAAAAATAGATGAAGAGAAACGCTTTGAAGCATTTGTAGCGCATGCTGCACGCACTCTATTAGTTCATTCTTTTGTCGTTCTGAACCGTGTCACTACTATCAACGTGAAGTTCTTGGCTGACTATTCCGGAATCTTAACTGGCAAATTTCTTATCTCTCATAGATATAGATATGTTCCGCCTGTTATTACGATCATTATATTTGTGTCTGCAATTGGCAAGATTGTTTATGCAAAACTAAAAGATAATATAAACAAAAACTAAACTGCCAATTGATAATATAAATAAATAAGAATGCAAATAAAATATGATAAACACTATTTTCTGATAAAATATAACAATATAGTATGTAATGAATTTGTGATGGAATATGAGTTTTTTTAGATCGACCCTAAAATATCAGAATATAATCCTTAATTTATGAAAGATCAAAGTATTATTTCAAAAAGATTCGCGTGTCATGTTTGTTTATTCTTAAAAAATGCGTCGAAAACAAAAAAGTAACAAAGATAATTCATTAAACTTGCCGAACTATTGAGTGAAGATTGTTAGTGTCATGAACCATTAGTGTCTTTGATTTAGAGATAATAAAGGTTCTTGCCTGAACGCGATAATGTTTTGAAAATTCTCAAAAGATGAAAACCAACGAATTGTTTTCGAATGGAAAAACTATTCATATCTACAATCCGAAAGTTCGAGTGAAAAATTGGAACGAAAGAGACTTTATTGGACAAAATAAGTAAATTGACAATTATAATATTAATAAATAATTATATTTTATAAACAATTATATTTTACTATTATATATTTTATTATTATATTATAGTTACATAAATAATATATTTTTCTAATGATATAGGGGGCGAAGGACGAGGAATGCAGTGAACGTTAATCTGACTGCTGGCGGTGCCCTGGTTGAAACGGGACACAATGCCGATTCGAGGCCGTCGAGCACAGACTCCTGCAAGAGTAATCCGAGCGCGACCGAGTGCCAAAACGTGAACTTTAAGGACATGGTATTGCAATTCAACAGGCTATCCCAACATACAGGTGACATTCCTACAAAATGTTCGAATTTATCATAACAATTCGCCGGAAATTTGCGGCAACAAAAAAATATAAACAAAAAGAAATAAAGGCCGAGACACATCAGTTCTCGACTGAAGGTTACCAATGTGCCAATTTGTAATGAATAATATATTTAGATTTACGTATAAATTCGTAAGAATAAAAACACAGTGCCAATCTTATATTTAGTAGGTGAACCAGCCAGAGCGCCGCAAAATTATCCGGACGTGACGCTTCAACCGGTGCCGTCGGGACACAACGCTTCTCCCGTGCCTGAGAACACCACCGCGCCTTCACGCTCACTCCTTCACGGAATTCTAACAAACAATACATCATCCCGACCAAACAACTTTCCGCTTACTCTGGCTAAATTGCTCACCGCGCCTGAAAGAGAAAGGAACTCTCCAGCGGTGGCGGCAGTGACTGCGACGACGCCGATGGTGCCTATGTCACAGCAATCGGCTAGCACCCAGCACCTTCTACAGGCATACCAAGGATCTAGTCTGGGTTCCATAAGCGAGCTGCTGTCTTCCCCCACGGTATGTAATTTTCTCTACTCATGATTTACATCAGTGCTCTCTACGACTCCGCGATCTACTCGACGCAATTTAAAATCTGTCTTTAATAACACGAGATTTTTTCCTTTTAGGCTCGGACAGAAATAACTATAACTCCTGTTGTCAATACACCCGCGCAGTCTCACTCCAACAACGTAATTAATGTTGTAAGACCATCGTTCCGATAGATGCACGCGCTGTTGTCGCGTACATCCAGATTCTCTGACCGTTTCTTTGAGGTTTACAGGATGACGTAGAGGAGGATACTGCAGCAAGCGATGATAGAGATGGCAGGTACTCAATGAGCGGAAGAGACACCAGGGAGGATCGCGACAACCCTCCACGATGTCAAGGTTGCCATCAGCGAGCCGCACAGTTTGTCTGCGCTGGCTGTGCAAACCAATGGTACTGCAGCCGTGAATGTCAGGTAAGATCGGAAGAATGCAAGAAACATAAAGAGTATTTTACGCGAGATGAAACGTCAGTTAACTCTATGGGATGAGGGAGAGCTCCGATAGTCCACATAGATGATTGGCTAATTTAATATAAAATTTTCTAATTGGTGGTCCAACAGAGAAAGACTGTAGGCACCGGCCTAGATGAAACGTTAGATTTCAACTACAAGACGTTTGAGAAGTTTTGCACAGAGAATAAATGAGCCTAGTTTTAATTTTCTTTTTATTAACATTTTGCGGTCCGTCGACGGCACTGTGCCGTCGCGATCTGACAATATTGGTTTTATCGATAAATCGAAACAAATGCGATTTTAAGCAACTGGCAACATGCAAAACAGATGAATAGCGATTTGTAGCTATGTCAAAACAAGTGACGATCGCTCCAAGTGTTAGGATGGTTCTTTCAGAGCTAGTCTTTCGATTCAAGTCGATCGACAAATCTTATCAGTGTAAACGCTATTTAGAGCTGAGGGAAAGTAAAAAATATTATCTAATACAGATTAATAATAATAATTTTGTTACAATCAGTCATTGGTTTATTATTTATCAATCGTACACATGTTCTCTAGTTGTATTTGTTTATTTATCTACTGTTTAGTTTCGTATTATGCCGTATTTTATATTATTTTATTTCATATTATATGGTCATAGATGTGATGTATCACCGATATTTCGTCGACGTGTCTTGAGACGAATTTCGTCAGAATCATCAGGCGATGAGAATATTAATTTATATCCACGAAGAAAAAAACAATGTTTACAAGCACATGTAAACGAGAAGAGAAATATGTTTTCTATTCTTTTATTAACCCTCTTGATATAATTTATGCGCTTAAAAAGGCGATTATATCTATGTTTGACTTTTTTCCAGTTCAAAATAGACAATGATATTGATGGTCTCAGAAAGTAAAGCTCTCACAGAAAAGTTAACTTTTATGATATTTAATAATAGAGAAAAGAATGAACTTCACGATAAAAGTTGTTTGAATACGCTAAATTCAATAGTTTTTTAGATATCAATATTTGTATAAGAAGAAAATCAATCAAATAAGCGCGGTTACTTGCGTATTATGTCTTCGAGAAGTTCAAACACATTAGTCAAGCGTCTTCGGGTGGGCCGCGGACCGCAAAATGTTAAATATTTTTTATGAAATAAAATCTTTTTATTAAATATAATCTCCCTTATTTTTTATTACATTTTCAAGTTGATCCTTGAACATATCAAAACCGCGCAAAGACCAATCTTCCGACTTTGACTCAAAGTAGGCATTTAGTTTGCTGTTGATATTCTTGTCATCCTCAAAACGTGTCATTAAAAGTTCGTTCTTCATATTCTTAAACAGATAATAATATGAAAGTGTCATATCTGGCGAATAAGGCGGATACTTAACTACATAATTTAAAATATCATTATAAATGTATGTTTTCATTATGAAATTAATTCCCCACCTTTCCTTTTAATTTTTGTAAAACTTCCGCTAAAGTTGCGGTTTCGGCCGAAATTGAAAAAAGTGGTCTCAATCGGACTCTAGTTTCAACTAAAGACGAGAAATTATTTGTTCATATATATGTATATAAACCGTATAGTTCATTTATACTGGCTGCGTTGAGAAAACACAAGCGATCAGTGAACGGTCAGTGATTATCAATCCTTATTGTTAGATCCCTAAATTCAGATCCATTACGTTGATAAATTACTCAATCATTGTACAACCGTTGTGTTTTTTGAACGCAACCACTAATTCTGATTTATTCATACTTATACTTACGTCGATAGGTGGCTTCGTGGGATGAACACTCCGAGATCTGCTCCGGTTAACGACGACACAATATTTAATACGCGCACAACCGAAGAAGAATCTAGTCAAGGCTATAATCTACATTCAGCGACGCAAAGCTGCAGATAGCCGAAGGTGATGGCGCGTATTTTTAAGGGTTCTCGACTACATGTGAATTAATAAACGTACGTCGAATGACGAGGAGAGTGCGGTGTATTTTACGATATAGTACGATTGCCAAATTGCTGGCTCTCCTGGATGACCATCCACGAGGGTAGATTCGAAGCCTCGGGCCTTATTTATGAGAACGAGAGTGCTCGAGTCAAAGTATCGTATTGCATTATCGTAAATACTTTTATTAATTTAGTAATCGGGCAAATCCTCGTCAAAGCGAGAACGGATGTCGTCCTGTTGGATCGAAGCATTTACTCCTCGGACAGCGGATACGCGGTCCATCTGGACCTATAACAAAGAAATACACGACTGTATATTTTATAAAATAAGCTGTTAAGTTAGATTTTAATTTTATTGTACGTGTATCATTGTATTATTCTTTCTTTTCTAAAGTAATGTTAATAATAAATATTAATAAGTGATCAAAAATATATATGCATTTGTTTATATTCGATACTTCGTCTGTTTGCTGTGTGATCAGAAAGTCGAGTAGGAGATCAAGATGAAACAAATTTAAACTCACACACACACACACACACACACACGTATATACACATATTAAAATTACGAGAGACAAAAAGAATTTGTGTACTCTGTGAACGTCGATTTATTTAATCAGCAAAGTGGGTCGGGCTGGACCCAGTATCCGCATGACGACATGACATTTCTATGAGAGTTGACAACAATCTGGAAAGGAGAGTTACGTCCGTTGGGATGATGATTGGTGTATATAGCGAAGTTGGTATTATTGTTGCGGTAAATTATTTTGACACTTATATTCTCGATGTGTTTACAAAATATTTGTCGGCAGTTATTACACAGTGGATTATGTTACCACGTATGAAGGATTATTTCCTATTTATACATATTATATTTCTCTTGTGTAATCGATAGTTCTTCATATCTCTTTTTCAATATAATATATACAATATAATCTTGTATAAATAGGGCATATTTTCCTCTTTACTTATTCAATCCACTCCAAGATTTTTTTTCCATAGTGAGTTTTAAACATAAACATGCTTAAATTACATAAACGTTTTTCATCTGTTTTATAATTATACAGATTATTCTGTTTTGTTTTCCTTCCTTTTTCTTTCTGTGTCTATCTCTTTGTCTTTCTATCTCGATTCTGACACTCACATGACGGTTTTTGCGTTTTGTACGTAAAACGCGCAGGCCGCGCAGATTCAGTACGCATCTTACATAACATTATGTATCCCGATCATTGAAGAGCGCATCCGAACATACACAATATTTTATATTTATATTTGTTACCAACGTGTAAATGTAGATTTAAGAAGGCGTTAGGCTTAATATTAGAAATAAGCTGTTTCTTTATCTCGTTGGTGGCAAAGTGACACGTTTTTAGTCGTTCTCTTCTACTTCTTTTTGTTTTTGATATGTTACCCAAGCGTTGATGGTCTCGAACATAATCTGTAGCCCAAAGTTCCTACAGGTACATGCGACATTATATATATATATATATACATATATATATATATTTTTTCCCATTTACGAGCAAACCAAAATAAAGTTTTTAAGCGTATTTCCAGCTTTTTATTATTCTTACTCTTGTTATTTTATGTTATTCTTATTATGAAATTAATACAGTCTCTTTATTGTTAGTCAAAAGTTCTAGAATAGAGCCATTTTTATTCATAAACAATTGACTCATAAACATTTTAATATTAACCTTCAATCAATATTCTATTAACCAACTTTCAATTTTCAAATAGGTATTGGCACAAAAAGCAGTTGATAAAAAATATAATTTGTAACAGTTACAAAAGATACCTATTCAATAAATATCTATCCAGATATTTGTTCAATTGATATATTAAGAAATTAAAAAAAGTAAAGTAAATAACATATGATACATAAAGAAATGAAAATATTGTATATCATTATGAACAGCATGAAAGAGAAAAATATAAAATAAAAAGGAAAGAAATTAATAGGGAAAAAGTGATTATATATGATTATATATAATTTATATAAAATCATATATAAATTTTTCGCCCATATATGTGGTTACATATATGATCATACATGTCCATGCGAAATGATGTTATGTCATTTAATTAAATATCGATATCATATGCTGTCAGAAGCACAAATAGCCAGAAGCATTTACTTCGATTGTATTTGCATATAATTTGTAAACAACAATATTTTTTCGTTATGGACATGTATGATTATACACAGTCATATATGGGCAAATTTCATAAATAATCTTTTTTTTTTTTCGCGAATATTGAATACTGCTACTTATGATGGGGCGATATCTAAGTTAGTTACTATTGATAATAAAATGACATGCTATACAGCAAACATATAAACTCACTGAATCAAACAATGCCTAAGAATTAAAACCATAAGGAAGAGAGATACGTCAAAGAGAGTCGTCACAGACACCACATCAAATATGAACCGGTCGTAACTTCGAGCAACAGTTTGCGTTTGAATATTGTCATTGCGATGATAAGAAACTCGCGACAGTTAATATGAGTGTTTTTAGAGCGATGGTTGCAGATAATAAAGAGAACCATTTTTGCTGAATATACATACCTGAGCAAGGTAAGCAAGAGCAAGTGAGAAAACCGCTGTTTTATATAGAAAGCCCAGAGGATATGAATTTACCCAACGAGAAACTACCTATTAATACTACCACGTGGCGTCGCGACGCGTCGTCTAACAATGGCGCGAAAAATTCAACGTTTGACGAACGATGCGATTCCATTGTTTTATTGATTGACACTGAGCTGTTTCATTACGCTACGTATTATCTAAAGATGATATATTTGTAACTAATGTAGCTATTCAATATTATAGCGTGTTTTATTAGCAGAACTGGTGCGTATTAAACGTACACCGCGGACTGCGTGTTTCCTTTGGCGACTTCAGTGCGCATGTGGATCGCGCACGCTATTTCATTGGTAAATCTGGTGCCGAGTTTCCCCATTTTGGTGCGAAAATTTAACACGCTCCGAGAGACGAATTAGTATTTTTTTTTTGGTGACACAAGTCGACACAAGCATCATCTTATCTTTGTTATTCATTGAATGCGAAACAAAGGCAAAATGATATTTGTGTCGACTTGCGTCACCAAATAGAAAGCATCAGGCTGCGTGCAAAATATGGTGGCGCGAATTGATGTAGGTGATTTGAACAAGCAAAGTATGCGAGTAGTATCCTTCGATTTCCTCTCGTCATCATCCAATAATGATGATGATGACAACTGTTTAGTTTCAAATGAAAGACATGTCATTCCAAAAATATAACAATTTATTTATTCGTATTTATTTTTAATCTTATCGAATATAAGTCTTTCGAAGTATTCATTTTGAAGTGTTCATATTCATTTCGTTTTCCCGAAGTATTCATGTTGGATTTTTTGTTGAATTAATAAGGCAAGATAAGGCCGATGGTTGTCGTAGTCGTGAACGTGAAGTAACTTGGGAAAAAATGATTATATATGATTATATATAATTATATAAAATTATACATGAATTTTTTTCTCACATATGTAGTTACATGTATGATCATAATATATGCCTGTACGAAAAAAATAATGTTATGTCATTTAATTAAATGTCGATATCATGTGCTGTCAGAAGCACAAGTAGCTAGAAAATATATTACTTCGATTGTATTTGCATGTAATTTGTAAAGAACAATATTTTTTTCATTGTGGACATATATGAGTATATATAGTCATATATGAACAAATTTCATATGTGATCTTTTTTTTCCCGAGAACGCAGAGAAAAACGTATACGTATTTGCATTTGCACAATTAGCCTGTTCTTTTTAGCTGAACTGCTGAACTGGTGCAATAAGTTAAAGTGAGAAAACATATACTTGTCTCGCTTCAACTTATTGCACTAGTTCAGCGGTGCAGCTAAAAAGAACAGGTCAAATATAAGTTACAACTTGCGTACAATTTTTTCCTCTGCCTTACTTTTTACGTCCACGACTACGACGCTTACGTCTCGTTCTCTGCTGTCAGCCGAACAAGCAGAAAAAATGCGATAATGTTTTGCACTCACCAAGCCGCGAGTGTTTCAGTGGACGTGCAAGAAACCTGCACTAGCTGTGCACTCGGAAGTTCCCAGTGTGCATTCAGTGCTGTCCAATGAAAAATGCTCGAGACGTAAGCATAGCTTGTAACCAATATTGAGAGAGAGAAAGAGAGAGAAAACATAACCTTGAGTGCCAATATTGTGAGAGAGGAAGAGAGAGAGAGAGAGAGAGATCTCGAGAAAACATAACCTCAATATAGATTCGGTTTCAATGTGTCTTAAGCTTATTTATGTGTTTGGACAATCATGACATACCGCCGGTGCAACTTGCGTGATTAAAAACAACGCATTCTAGAAGTTTTTTCCGAGACATTACGATGTCTGTTCCATTTTTTAATGTCACCCGGTCGTTGACAACCGTCGCTAGCAGGTCGAAGCGGCGCGTTGTTGTCACCGGCATAGGAATTGTATGTCCTTTAGGAGTCGGGACGCGAAATGCCTGGGAAGCTCTCATCGACTCCAAGTGCGGAATCACTAAACTGTCCGAGCCAGACTATGAGAAGCTACCTTGTAAAGTAGGTGAGTGCTTCTTAACTTATTATTAGTACCACACATATGAAATGTATCAAGTTTGAACCATATTACCGTGCGTGCGTATGAGTAACATTATGTAGATACAAAAATCGTGAACACCGAGTACCATTGTAGTCAATATCGCTCGAAGATACGTCATTTCGTATGCGTACAATAATTACACTAACTTAACTTAATCTACAGCTGCGCAAGTGCCAAAAGGAAACTCTTCCCATCAGCTCAACATCGACAGCCACTTTACAAAAAGTGAGCTACGCACAATGTGTCCTGCCACTGCGTACGCACTGATAGCCTCAGAGGAGGCACTCACTGATGCGAAATGGAAACCGGACGACGAGAACAACAAACGTGACACTGGGGTCTCGGTAGGAATTGGCATGATAGACCTAGTGGACGTATGTATGACGTACGAAGCGTTGAAGAAGGGCTACAGCAAAGTCAGTCCCTTCTTCGTGCCCAGGATTTTGCCGAACATGGCTGCTGGACAGATCAGTATCAAGTACGGATTCCGTGGTCCAAATCATTCTGTGTCAACCGCTTGCGCAACAGGCGCACATGCTATTGGTAATCAATTAGTATTGAATAGTGTTGTGACACGTTTTTTTTTAATAATAGTTTTTAATGACACGTTTTTTAATAACTAGATACATATATACCGAAAGGAAAGTGTAGATAGATACAGATGTAAGTTTGAGGTAAATAATAAGTATGGGTACATATACTATGAGAATTTACAGTCCCTGGCTTATATTTATGTTAGGTCATATTATTAGATGCACTTTGCTTCTTTAATAGAATACAGGTTAGAAAAAGAAGAAAAGCTACTAATTTTGTTTACTCGATTAGAATAACTTTCGGTGTCAATCGGCGCTTTTACCTGCGCAACTTTTTGAGATGTCAAATCACTTGTTTTACCCATATCCTGGATGATTTTCGTCAGTTGAACACGAATCCGTTGTCCAAATCTGGCTATTGGGTCAACATTTTGAGAAAAATAATGTCAAAGAAGCCAAAAACATTTATTTTGACGGTTTTCATGAACGATGCGAGCCGGGCATATATTATGATCAACGTTATAGCACCGGCGGCAAATTTTGTTCCACATTTCGTTAATACTACGCAAAAGTATCAATGTTTAGCTTTAAAATACATTTCGTATTGTTTCGATATGATTTTTCATTTTCGAGATATAGCTAAACATGATGTTGAGCTCGCATGACCAGTGTTTTTAATTTTATCTTATTAATGTATCTTTAGGATGAAAAATCATACCAAAACAATAAGAAATGCTTAAAAGTTGATACTTTTGCGTGATATCAACGAAATTCAGAAAAAAAATCTGCTGCTGGTGCTGCAACATTATAAAAACCTTTAAAATTGCCGTATTTGGCCTCTTTGACGCAATTTTTCTTTTCTTTGTGACCTAACAGTCAAATTTCGACAACAAATTCGTATTCAGTAGACAAAAGCCATTTAGGAAAATCTATTCTCGCTCCGGATAAGGACAAAGGATTAAAAGAATTTTGCTAAGATATTCCCCACTCGATTTTGCACCCAATTTTGATATCAAATTAAAGTACTCGTCAACCTGATTATAAATATATATTTATACTTATTATAATTTCAATCCCGACAAATGAAATAATCGCCTTCTGTCAGGATTGAAATCTTCGAAGCACATTTTCTCTAGAATTGAGCAAATCGAGCTAATGCATCTTAAGACATATTTGTAGTCAACTCGGTGAGTTCTTTAATTTGATTCTAAAATTGCAAAATCATGGGAGAAATGTGGGGAACAATGTCTACGGACATTTGGCTGCGCTCTGTTGACTACTCTGGTGGAAATACTCTCTCAATTGACCCCATTTTATTAATATACGCAATTTTCACTTTAATTCAGTAAATTTCATAATATCTGATGTTTCAAAAATTTTTTTATTACTTTTCAAAATTATATTTTAATTTACATTTATATTTCACAACATTACATTGAGTTTCATGATGAAGGTTACGATTTATTTTGAAATATTATTATTATATATTTCAGTAACTTTCATCAAGTTCACAGTATTCACCGGTACTCGAATATAAGGGAAGTTAAAGTGTATTGCTGAAATATATTGAATTTAACTGGGAACTGCGCACATTGAACGGAACGATGGTGAAGTTGGTTCGGTTGAGAAAGAGAATGTCAATAAGATGTTCGGCATAATATTTCCATCAGGGTGGTGGTTATCAAATACCGCACATTTCCTCGAACACCTAACACTGATGACACATCTGTCCGCTTTCAGGTGACGGGTTCCGCTTCATCCGCGGCGGCGAGACCAGCGTGATGGTGTGCGGCGGCGCGGAGGCGTGCATCAATCCGCTGGCGATAGCCGCGTTCTGCCGGCTGCGGGCGCTGAGCACGTCGAGGAACGACACTCCGCGGGAAGCGTCGAGGCCGTTCGACAAGGACCGCGACGGCTTCGTGATGGGCGAGGGCGCCGCGATACTCGTGCTGGAGGAGCTGAATCACGCGCTCGCCCGGAACGCGCCCATCTACGCGGAAGTGCTCGGCTACGGGCTGTCTGGTGACGCATCGCACATCACAGCGCCGAGCGAGGACGGTATCGGCGCGCTGCTCGCGATGGACAGAACGGTGAAGGACGCCGGCATCGAGAGCTCGGAGGTGACGTTCGTGAACGCCCACGCCACGTCCACGCCGTTGGGCGACGGGATCGAGCTGAAGGCGATCGAATCGTTGATGGGCGAGCACAGCGGCAACGTGACGGTGACGAGCACCAAGGGAGCCCACGGTCACCTGTTGGGCGCAGCCGGCAACCTCGAGGCCGCCTTCACGATCCTGGCCATCAAGGAAGGCGTCATACCGCCCACCCTGAATCTGCACAATCCGAACGTGGAGACGCGCTTGAAGTTCGCCGCTCACAGGAAAACGACGTGGCGGCCGGCCACGCATCGGAGGACCGCTCTGAAGAACGCGTTCGGCTTCGGCGGTACGAACGCTTGCCTGTGCTTCACGCAGTACGTCGATTGAACGGATGGTCCTCGGTGGTGGTTATGCGTGTTACGTACGCGGTTACGTGGTGATGTCGCACAAGTGGTGTGATGGCAATGCCCGGTCCTTTCCCGATGTGGATTCCGAAAGCAAAGGTACTGAGAGAAAGGGCTATGACGGAGATCGATGTTGCTGTTAAGTTTGTCGCATTATATGTATTTACGACTGACATAACGGGCCTGAGAAGCGGAAATTCGACTGACGGATGGAATTTCACATGTGAGTATCACACACAGTAGGATGACAGCTTAAATATTTTTAATAACTTTTATGCAACATACAATATGTAAATACGATCTTACGACATCCTTTTTATAGAATGATCTTACAGAGTATGCGTATGTGTAATGTAATTACACGGAGAGGATGTACACATTTGGAATAATAAAATATATTTATATTACATATATATATATATATATTACACATATATATATATATATATATATATATATGTGTGTGTGTGTGTGTGTTTTTGGAATGTAACATTCATCTATATTATAATTCTGACAACTTCCAATCGCGCGTTTCTATTTTTACAACACGGACACGAATCCTCATCAGCCAAGAAGACCACGTTATCTAAGATCTTCAAGAAAAAAATACAGCACTCTTCAAGTATCCGGTCATCATCTGAAGCTCGTGTCTGTCAAACAGCTTGCATTCGTAGTACGTGCAGTATCATCGGATCTGCCGTATCATGGCCAAGGCATGCTCGTACAAAATCGCTCCAGAATTGTACAGATTCATATCAATCAGATTGTGCTTTGTACAATAGCGTAAAATTTGTCTTTTCGTTTACTGGAAACAAGATTAAATTCAATACAACACCGCTAGCTTTTTCTTTTTGGTATGTCTATGTTTATTTCTAGACGCCTCTCTTTGTTGGCAGATAAATCATATTATATTATCATGTTTGTCTGTTTTTTTCTTCGAGTAATGCAGATTTCCAGCATTTTACGTGATACAGCATAAAGTCGACCTCGTGCGACAAGTTGTTCAAAATATGTCTATTGTACTTGTGTCTCGCTACTCTTGGCAGTAAATCAATATAAAAGAAACAAGAAATCGAGGTATTGTATTCTATGTCGTGTTGTGAACGTATGAAATCAGGAATTCTTATTGATTGATGATAAACGGTTTCATATGGCTGCATAAAACCGCAAAACGTTCTCTGAGTGTTCGCCGAAGTTCCCGCCGCTTCTCCGTAACTTGACACATTCGTGACTTGAACTCCAGCACCTCTTCCGCCGGAATATGACTCTCCTCGTCGTCTTCGTCGTCGCTTAAAGAATCCTAAAATCAAAACATGTCATGAAATTTAGAAGGGAGAAAAAAACAGGCATGGAAGCGGTTCAACTGTCAAAAATAATGAGAAAAGGAAGTTTCATTCTTGTCGTTTCTTATTTGAAAAGGTAAAAAAATTGTGAATCAGCTCTAAAAGAAATGTATAAAAAAAGGAGTCTTTTCTATATAATTCGTACGTTAAAAATTAAATTGCTTATCTGTTATACCATTCCTCTAAGAGATAAAAACACCTTGACTTTGTAGTGAATGTCAATGAAAAGCAAATTTGAATTTTGGGGGACCAAAATATTACATGAGATACATAGAACTTAAGATATCCTTTAAATTCAATTTTAGACCCATATTCGGATACGATAAAACTCTTCATAAAAAAAATTAAATTCTTTGTTTTTTCAAGCATATTTAATGAAATAAATTGCAATAGATTCCCAGGATATTTTAGGATATCTCCCAAATCGTTTTTTCAAACAACATTTTTCAAGTAAAAGAAAAAATATTTAAATTACAGGTTCTTCTATTGAAAGTACAGATTAGTCAACTTAAGGATAATATTCAACAAATAATATTCAATGATATCTAATTTAAAGAAAACACAAATGTGTATTTCCGACGGTTACTATCTGTTTTCTTAAGTTCGTTTGTTAAGAACTTGTTTTGGCTTGATGGACAAACAAGATTTATGGATGGACAAATCATGAACAATTAATTCCACTACACAATAAAGAAAACAGTCAAGTGTGTTCATGATGGTCATTATTGATTTTTCTGACGAACCTAATAAAAACAGTTTAAAAATAAAGTTCTCCATTTTATGAACATTGTATTGTGCCGGAGTTATTTTCACTTTCTATTTTCACTGTTTTAATCTTTAAAGAATGAATCATTTGATACTAGTTTTGAGGCTTTCACGGCCATTGATATAATCCAATTGCGTCTTGAATCAGGATTCTGTTAACGTTTCGCAAACATTGCAGTTTGCATCATCAGGGCTTGGAGCTCTGATACTGAGCCCTGTTGGATATTAGTTGTCCTTATATACTCCTTTATCCTTCGGGAGAGGAGAGAGGGAAAAGGGAGGCGGGATTGGTTCCAGCCAATCAGCGTCCACGTCATAATTTTGAAAAAAATAGCGTCCGAATGATAAAGAACGACGAAGGGTTTTCATGATGTAATATTAACAGCAAATTTTTTCTAAGTTTTGTTAAAAAAAGCCGGGAGGGCAGTATGCCAAATAAGGTTTACCTATACACCCTTATCTCTCTTTTTTAATTGACCAGCTAAATCAATAAGACGCTGATTGGCTGGAACCAATCCCTCCTCCCTTTCCCCCTCCCTTCTCCCGAAGGATAAAGGAATATATAAAGACAACCTATATCCAAGAGGGCTCAGTATCAGAGCTCCAAGCCCAAACTGTAATGTTTGCGAAACATTGGCAGAACACTGATTCAAAACGCGGCATACCTCCAGAAGCAACGCAATTGGGGTGAATCATTGTTTTATTTTGAAAGAAACTAATTATTGTATATGACTTCTTGTGATCGATTTTTTTAAGGCTCGAGTAAGAAAAAAGCGGGAAAAGTGAAATGTTTTGAAATAAGCGAGAAAAGTGAGGAAAGTGAATCGCTCTCATGCCTGAAGAAATTAACTTAAATTAGAAATGAATTATATCGATCATTATTGATCGATATAACTCGCATACTGTACAGTATGCATATTGTACAGTATGCGAGTACGCAATGGAGCGAGCCATCAAAGAGCCGGAGCGTCTCATTCGTGGAAGAGGATGCACAAACGCTGAGAATGTACACCCTTACCTGTCACGGTAGCATGTACAAAAAAAGAGGCCACAGACTTCTATAGTTTAACATGTTGACTGCCAACTACGAGATATCTCGTAGGTTGTTTACTTGCCCAGGACGCCAACTACGAGTTATCTCGTCGCTTCATTACTTGATTCAAATCAAATTGGCTTCTTAGACCAGAATCGTGAAAAGTTCCGTGGCAGTCAACGTGTTAATGCAGGGAGGGCTCATTCCAGTGTACTATAGAGTTCAACGATATCGATATACAGTTGAAGCGTACCTCTAACATTTGCGTAAGTGTCAAACCACTGCCCATTTTCTTCAATAACGAGATGCTAGAAATGGAATGAATAAGTTTATCACATGATCGTAGATCGTTGCTATCTCCGCTGTGTTTGCAACATGCATCGTTGCAGGCTATTTCAGAGCCATCCGGAGTGCTAGGAAGAGAAGAACTACTGATATTGTGTTCGGAAGAATATCCGCAATCTTGGGAGGATTGCTCGCTGCTGGAGCGACCTTCCCCCTCGGACATGGACAATTTGAAACGTTTCCTCATTTCTATCCACATGTATTTACTTTTTGTACGGGGTTTCGCGATCCAAGCGTCTATGAGTTTCTTCGTCATGGGATCCTTGCAATCGTCTTCGTAATTCCACTGAACTTCGTTGAGTTTTTCGTCTAAGTTCTTTTTGAACGAAAGAAAAAGTAAACTTCAGAACGCCGTGTTTCAGATGTATATCGATGTATCTGTGCATATTGTGGGCGAGATCGGTAAACTACAGCTTACCATACACGACTCAGAAATATCCGACGAATGTTCCCGAGGAAATTGTTCGTGAGACGGACTACTTTGCTCAGATTGATTAGTATTAGATTTCGCCTTCGTCTCAGTGGAACTTTTAACTGTGGTCTTTCGTGGACTCGTCGTCTTTTTCAAAGGGAATGCTTGCTCTGTTTTATTTTGTGATTGCGCTGGTGTTTTCATCTTTTTCAGGCAATCTGGACACTTGCACCTTCGCAGACCCTTGTTTTTCGGATCTAAAACTTGCAACTGAGATTACGAGACGCGCTAGTACATAGAGGAGCGTAAGCGAGCGTGTGTGAATTGTACGAAGTCACATTGATCTCGTGTACCTTATGCCGGTCAATATTCTGCGTCGTTGGCTTGGATTCTGCACAGACACACGAGGACTGACTGTCACCGTTCTGTCTCTCACTCGAACACTACGATAAAATGAAATTTATCTCTATCCAGCACATAGGATCAATATCGTAAATTTTTTTCTTTAGGAAACACATCTTGCACGTTGTAACATACTTACATCACAGGCATTTTCTTTTTCTTCGGCCTCGGCCTCGTAACGACGCTCCTTTTGCTTCCTACGTTTGAGCCGCATCTTCTCGCGTTTCTGCTGCTTCGCCATCTCTTCTCTTGTAAATTCCTCGTATAATAATTCTAACTGCGTGTAACCTCGTTTCATCTCGACCGCTGTCTGTGATGAGATATTCGGTTTCCCAGAACATGGACGTCAATTAAGTTGAAAAAGATCAGACCACAATCGGAGATTTCTTAGCTTTGTTAAATAACACTATCCAACACTTTTTTGCAAGTAGATAAAAATGTATTTTAAAGCTAAAAATTGATATTTTAGCATGGCATTAACGAAACTTGGAAAAAATTTACTGCCAATGTTACGTCATTAAAACCCTTCGTCGTTCTTTATCCTTTGGACGCTATTTTTCTCAAAATTATGATGTGACAGCCAAATTTTGACAACAGATTCGTATTCAGCAGGCAAAAATACGTTGGAAATGACTATTCACACTCGCGTGGCAAAAAGAATAGGTCAAATTTTGTCAGACGGTGTAATTAGCATTGTCTTTCCAGTGATTATTACCTCGAATTTCCTAGACAATGCATCTATTGCGGCAGCGGCTAATACTTTACACACAGTCTCCTCTTCTCTCAGCCGTCGATGAACTTTATGTAAACGTTCCGCCATACATATACCTAAACACGTAAGTACTTCTTCTTGAGCAATTTCCAGTGTCTTCGCATGACGCTCCCTGAAATTTCCCACGTCACTTTTTCTTCTTACGAGACACTACACTAGAGCAAATGTCAATCCATACCGTCCCATAAGTTCCGGCTGTGCGCGACCAATGATGGTACCGATGTAATTCGTTATAGTCGGTAAGTGAATGTGACGATCAGCTATACAACGCTTGATACCGGTATACAAAATAGGTGCATAGCCTTTTTCCTTCGTAGGGTCAGGTTCCTTCGTTAGAAGAGAGGATGCTAGTAATACCTTGTTGCGACACTCGCCACAAAACCTGCGACATTCGCGAGCTTATTAATAAATCGTGGTTATGACATACTCTGCAAGATGTGCGATGTAGAATGATTGTACCTATGTTTACGCAGATAAGTATCTAACGTCTCGTCTAGCACGTCAGTCTCTATCAAGGTGAGCTCTTCCCGGCAGGGTTGGTCCAGACATTCCCATACTTCCCTCCATGCATTTGGCGGAGGTCGCATCCTCTGAATTTCCAGAGAATGCAACATACATCGTTGAGATTTCCTGTTCCTTGGTTGTTGCTCTACTAAGTCATTTAATCTGGTGCTGTTGAAGAAACATTCAAATGATAAGGATAGCTCTACATATACGTACTTGGAGTAATATCGTCAAAATTATACCTGTGTCCATGTAACATTGTGCATAGTATTTCAGGTGATTTCAGCACTTCATCCTTAATAGAAAGCAGGCCGTTGGAGGTGATAACCAGTTGATGGAACGCAGGTTGCCCAGTCTTCATTAAAGCATGCAATAGTCTCTCGACGCTAAACAGAATATTTCTGTTACTTAAAGCAGCTATCTTTCATTCGAATGAAAGAAACAATCACATACCTTCTTCGACAACCCACACATGGTACAGTTTCGCTTAAAATAGCCACTATATCCTTACAGCTAACCTCAAACGATGCCTTAACCTCTTCCTTCGTAAGTATTTCCATTTTCTTTACGAACTCTTCCAAAGGTTTCCCACGAATTATAGGATTATCACATATCGCTCCTAAATGTGTTATATCCATAACCATCTGAAACAAATGACAAAAACCGAGCACTGAACCTCGCATATTTCGCCATGAATAATAATATCAGTAATAATAATGATAAATCGATTCTATAAAACTATCCACGAATGATACATGACACGAGTGCGGTAATAACGATACGTCATTCTGTTGCATTGTCAGCAACATAAACGAAATCGTTCGACGACCACGAATCGATCGCACGAATAAACGAACGGAAAGCAGCACGATAGCGTAAGAATATCACGACCGATCGTTCTTGGCAACTAACGCGCCTCTCCGTTCACTCGTGTCGGGATTTAGGTTAGTCGTGAAGAAGCTGCTGCTCTGCGAGAAGCAGGCATCATTATGTAAGGCGTCGTCACGTAATTATCACGTGTATAGCGGCATCGTGCTCACCGTCAGGTTCTCGTCGATGCACAATAGCATTTGCTGGTTAGACAGGTTTGTCAGCTTATCCTCCCGGCAAACATTCACTAATCTCGCCATCGTTCTCTTCCTCGCGATCCGAGTGGTATATGTACTTGCTTTCTCTCTCTCTCTCTCTTTTTCTCTCCCTCTCACTGTAATGTACGTCTACTCTCGCTCTTTCTCGCAATCTAAGCCGGATGATAGGTTAATCACGAAAAATAAGTATCTCGTTTTCCAACCGATCACTAAATATTCGCTCCCGCATGCAGTTACGAGACCACACGGCGAAAACAAATGGAGTGCCTCGCATGTAGTCTGCCACTTGCAACGTACATGATACATCCGCATGGAGCAGCACACGCATTTCATCGTGGTTTATAATAGACAGTAGGAATATGTTTATAAGTAAGAGTAAGAAATTGACCTATCATATTTGAATGTAAGAAAAATAATTGACTATGATTAGTTAATTTCTTACTCAAACTTCTTATAAACATACTTCTACTGACTATTGTAGACCAGGTTTTTAAGTTTGTTGCATCTGGATTCCATGCTTTAAGAATAGTCTACAATGAGAAATAGGAGTGTGTTTATAAGAAGTAAGAATAAGAAACTGACCAATCATATTCGAATATAAGGAGAATAATCGATTATGATTGGTTAATTTCTCACTCTTATAGATAAATTTCTTATAAATATACTCCTACTGTCCATTGTAAACCATGTTTTAAGCATAGTCTGCAATAGATGCACTTTTCGAATTATCCTATAAAACATGGTTTACAAATGGCAGTAGGAATATGTTTATAAGAAGTAAGAGTAAGAAATTGACCAATCATAGTCGATTATTCTTCTTATATTCGAGTATGATTGGTCTATTTCTTACTCTTACTTCTTATCATTAAACTAAAGAACATACTAGAATGAGCATTGCCTTTGTTTTTAGCAAATGACCTCGTGCCGAAAGAGAAAGTATCTAAGTAGTATTTCTTTGTCTGTTTGTGTCCGCCTTTATTTTATATTAGCCTATATAAATTATATAGCATGTTAGTAAGATAGAGAGCGAGATATTACTTAGATGTGGCCTTTGTCGCATAGCTTCTCTAAAGCCCGTATCAGACTACGGATTGGGGATTGAGATTGAATTGAATTGAATTTGGCCAATCAGTACAAAGTTAACTAAACTTTAGTTAACTCAAGTTTAGTGAAATTTAGTGAACTTTGCACTAATTAGTCGAATTTCAATTCAATTTCAATCTCCAATCCGTAGTCTGATATAAGGTCTGTTTTTTTTTCGCTACACTAAAACTGCACTAGAACTGCACTGAACTGAACTAAACCGCCCTGGGAAAGACTAGTACAGAATAGTTCAGTGCAAAGTGCAATGAAGAGATCTGTTCGTTTTCGCCGCACCGCTGAAACGCTAGAGTGTAGTAAACAACACGGCGCATCACACGGCATTATTTGATTCTTCTGACGAAAAGGATTTTGTTGTAATACAACCACTATTACATAGCAAATTTATTAATAATTTATAATATTATATACCCTACCGATCATAAATTTAAATAAATGACTAAATATAAAATAAATATAAAATCATAAAGTAATATATCTTGACATCTTAAATTCATCCTTGTGGTATGTTTGAACATTTCTACTGTGTATGTATGTGTGATGGTATAATATTAACAATTTTTGAAAATGAAGTAAGAAAGATGTTTCACACATTTCAATAAAATGCCAGCCACATACCTGATAGAGACTTTTCGTATTTCCGTTACGTTTACATGCACTTCCAAGCTATACTTTTATGCACTGCACTGGCCTCACTACATCCTGACTCAGTGCAACAGTTCACTGAACTGCCTGCACTACATGCACTGCGAAAACGAACAGCGTTGATGACGTCATGATGACGTCATTCTTGATAAAAAGAACGCTTTAGTGTAAACTTCTTGCACTGGTGTGCACTAGTGCAGAAAGTGTTTCGAAAAAAACAGACCTATTGGCTTAACAAGCCACGGCCCCCACCACACAAGTGCTCATTCCACTATGTTCTTTAGTTCAATGTTTCTTATAAATATACTCTTACCGCCCATCGTAAACCACGTTTAACCTTTCTATTTCCTGTGGTCTGTTCTTTTTAGCTGTACTGCTGGTGCAATAAGTTAGCATGAGACAAGTATATTTTGTCTCGTTCCAACTTATTACATCAGTTCAGCGGTGCAGCTAAATAGAACAGACCACTTCTCTCTTTCATCAAGTATCAAATATACAGGGTAGGATTTTCTCTCTTTTATCAAGTATCAAATATATCAGTGGGAATGTGTTGAAAGTAAACAGTTATATATCTCCTCTTAAGTGTCAGCAGCTGTTTTATTGACCGAGATTCGCTACCTGAGACCTGTCAATTTCTTTCGAGCCGTCATACAGACCGGTTTGTGAGTGCCAAAATAGGTGCGTTAACCCCTTGGGTACATTTGACGTCTGAGAGACGTCATTCACTTGTTTTCCCTAGGAGCGGATGATGTGTCTAAAACGTTATTTGAGGTTAGGCACAATTCTGTTCATTTCATTGTAGCTTGTATCAGTCATAGTAGAAGAGGCAATTACAGTATTTCGGTGAACATTATTTGCGATACACTGCCCCATTATGTCAAAAACAAGGAATATATTTTATGATAGTGATAGCGAAAGTGATTTTGAGAAATCTGAAGAAGAATTGTTTAGTGATCCTGAAATTGACAATTACAATGAAATACAAAGCGAAGGTGATGAAGACGATATTGAAATAGAAAATGATGACAATTTTAATATAATATCAAGGTTTCGAAGACGCACAAGACGTTTATCGAGCAGTGATAGTGAATCTTCTCGTGAACCAGTATCAGAGGAATGGATTTGGGAAGAAGAAGAAAATGTAGCCGATATAAAAAGTTTTTCTGAAATATCTGGAATTAATCCTTTGAGCCTGCGTAGACTAGGTGGTAATCCTACGCCTTTAGATGTTTTGAAAGAAGTCTTGAATGAAGATTTTTGGGACACTATAGTAGAAGAGACAAATAGATATGCCAGACAAGTGATAGAAAAAGAAGGTTGTGTAACAAAAAAAAACCAAGGGTGGTTTCCTGTAAGTTCTGATGAAATGAAAGCTTATATTGCATTATGCATCTTGATGTCGCAAATGAAGAAGCCGAAAATGCATATGTATTGGTCAAAAAGATATGCAATAAGTACTCCAATTTTTGCCAGCACTATGCCACGCGATAGGTTTTTTGATATTTCAAGCTTTCTACATTTTACGGATAATGAAAAGGAAAATAAAGATGACAGAATAAGAAAGATTAGAAATATAGTGGATTACCTAAATGCTAAATTTTGTTACCTTTATACTCCTGATAGTGAAGTAGCTATTGATGAAGCTTGTTTTGGCATAAAATTTTATAAACTTTGCGAATCTACATCAAGTTATTGTATTCGTTTCAAAATTTATGTTGGCAAGAATAAAATCCAGGGAAGTGATATACCTGCTACTGAGAGTGTAGTCATGGAAGTGGCACAGCCTATTTTAAAAAAAGGTTACACGTTGTATATGGATAATTTTTATTCATCACCACATTTATTTCTGACCTTACTAAAAAATGATACGAATGCTGTTGGAACTGTTCGGAAAAACAGGAAGAATATGCCAAAGGTGTTTTCTTCAATGAAGTTGAAAAAAGGAGAAGTCAAAACTTTATCCAGTCACGGTTTATTGGCTTTGAAATGGAGAGATAAAAAAGACGTTCACATACTTAGCACGAAACATTCAAATGCTGATTTGATAAACACAGGCAAAAGGAGAAAAAATAAAGGTGGCGATAGCGAAAATATTATAAAACCGGCATCTGTGCTTGAGTATAATAAAGGTATGGGAGGCGTTGATAAACAAGACCAATTGCTAGCGTGCTTCCCAGTTATGAGAAAATGTGTAAAGGGTTATAAGAAAATGTTTTTTTATCTAATAGATATGGCCTTTTATAATGCTCATGTTTTATATTCTAAAATCAACTGCACAACCAAGGCAGGCATTACTTCCTTTCGTTTAGCTATTGCCGAAGAATTGCTGGAGCAATTGTCATTGCCAAATTATAAACGTCGTGGACGTCCGTCAAGTAGCGATACACCATTTCGTTTGGCAGCGAAAAATTGGGCACACTTTCCTGAGAACATTCCGTCAACTAAGTCCAAGCAACACCCTGGAAAAAGGTGCCGTGTTTGTTATAAGCATAATATTAGGAAAGAGACTACGTGGCAGTGCAAACAATGCAAAGTAGCACTGCATTTACCTACTTGCTTTGAAAAATATCACACTCTGCATAATTATTAGTAATTGGTTTTTTTTATAGCTTGAATTTATTTCATTTAGTTTTATTTTGTTGTTATTAATTTATTTTTGTTTTGCAATTCTAATTACTTGAAGACATCTTAATACTACATATGTCACCAATATTTTAGAAATAAATAAATTCTTACGTAAAATGTACTGCTTTTACATACTACTCCAAGCAACCAAAAATTATATCCGTTCCACATGTAAATATTTTCTCAAATAAATCCGTACCCAAGGGGTTAAGCATGGAAGAAAAGGTAAATCTCATCGAGTGCTTCTACGCTAGGGGCAAGAACTATACTGCAGCGTATCGTGGATTCCGTAATAAATATGGATCCAAAAAGGATTCAAACGAAACTACACTTAGAAAGTATGTTTTTAATGCATTTTAATCATCTCCCTCCGTAAAATCGCGTCTAATCACTATTATGTTGGTTATGTGAGAGTTTATTTATTTTTCAATATTTTTTCACAGGATTATTAATAATTTTACTATGTTTCACACTTTGAGCGATCGTTGTCATAATTTACCCGGTCCACTTCGTACTGTTATAACAGAAGAAACAATTTATGAGGTTTGAACATATTTTGATGATAATCCAAACACTTCAATTCAGAAAGTCGCTCAGGCTTTGGAGTTAAAGCAAGAAACTACCTGAAAGATTGTGAGAGACATTATTATGTTGCATCTGTATCCTCTTATACATATTTAAATTTATATATAATATGCAGAGTAGAAAACTGTAAAGTAATCCTGCAAAAGACAAGCAAGTTAATAAATGATTTACAAAAGAATATACTAGTAAATAGATAGTAATAGATTTACAAAAGAATATACTACTACTAAAAAAATATAAAAGTACATACTATAATATTATAATATTGTACTATAATACTATAATAACTGTTATATCAAACATATAATAAATATATCACATATTTATGTATTTGTATTTTGCAGGAAGAATACAATGGGAATACAATTAAAGACTACCTCTGTGGTAGGAGTGGATGGAGTTAAAAGCAGCCCCTATGACACTGGGATGCAATCTCTTTCCTTGTTCCAAAAGTCACGAAGCTTCTTGTAGACTTTCGTCGCATTGGAATTATAATTCAGGGCCTCGCAGATGCGACAGTAGTGCTTGGATGCGCTGCCAAAGTAGCCGTGCTCGTTGAGCACCACGTAGTTGTCGCGCCACTCGTGATACTTTATATAACGCTCGTCGTCATGGTTCAGATAGAGAAGATAATCGGCGAGCGTGTGCGCGTTGCTGAAATTCGCTACGTGGAGGTAGGAGCCTGGCGGTAACAATCGTCGGCAGTCCTCTAATGGAGCTCCCATTATTATCGGGACCGCGTGCTTGTGAAACGCGTTCCAAAACACCTTTTCCGTCATGTACTCCCGGCAGTCGGAGTTCTCAAATGACAGGTAGAATTTGTACGAGCTCAAGACGGAGCAGTCCTTGTGGAAGTGACGAGGACAGATGGTACTATTGCCACTTATACAGCCGCCGATTATATCCAAGTGATCCCGCAGCAATGGCTTGAGCGCCTTTATATAGTCCATCCGTTGGTTCCTGCCACCGCAATGGCTGATCATTACAGCGAGCAGCTTGGTCTTGGAATCCATCAAGTTGACTTCCCAGAGTGACGACTGAAGACTCGACGCTTTCCTTATCGTTCTACCATACGGAATGGGCACGTCGCTGTTCATTCGATAGGTCATGGTCCAGTTAAACAGACCATCGTAATCCAGTGTCTCCTTGGACGAGGAGAGACAGTTCATAGGCGACTCGTCCATCAGCATGATCCATCGTTGATCGACTCGGCTTCTTTGCGGTATATTCGACGCGCGTAGCAAAAACTGAACGTGAAACACCACAGCATGCGCTCGATGCAGATCTTCGTCTTCGTAACTTAGTGCGCAGTTTTGCACCGAACAGTTCTCCCATGGTGAATATCTGAAACCCATAATTTCACGTATCTTTCTCTTGAAGTTTTTTTCTCGGCTATACAAATTTCAGACCATCGAGTCTCCTTATTAATTTAAGAAGATACAATCATTTGATTGGTAAGATCAAAATTATAGAAACGAACACTTTATTCGAATAACGTTTGATATGCCTGTTAGCTAAGCGGTTTCCTTGCTTCCATATTAAAATCCAGTAATTTTTTTCAGGATCGTTCGTCGGTGGTGGACTTCCCTCTGGTGCTAACAGCCACTTTCCGAGAAGAGACATGTTCTGTATCTGATGGAGAGAAATCACGATACATTGTTACATGAAGGAAACACAAATATCGTTACTAATCTAATAAAATTATTACACAAAATTGTTTGCAATTAGTATGATTATTAAGATCAAATAGTAATGTGAAAGCTCAACACTTGACCTGTTCGTAAGTAAAACCTCTTTCCAAAAGATGCGCCTCATAAGAAGCAATCTTCATGGATTCTGTATCTTTGAATAAAATTCGAGGAAAAGACATTCTAGTGGCAAAGGAATTTGTGTAGAGATATAACATTGTCATTGTAGTAATATACAGGCAAAATATGAGGCATATGAACTTATAAGAGCGACGCATGGTGCTCATTATTTATTATGTGCATTGAATAATTTTAGTCAGAGCTTGCTTCAATCACTGACATTAAACTAAATGCTTCCTTTGTGACCAAAATATATAGAGTGACTTAGGAAGATGCTTTAACCTGTAATAAAACATTTATCGCATATATATTTGTATCAAAAAGGCTATGTACACAAATAACATTTATTTTTCCCCTTTTATATTTACCTTTGTAACAGCCTATCTCTTTGTGAAACATAATTCTACATGGAAGCAGTTAAATCTTGTTTTTAGTATGTTTTCTAAAATCAAATATTTAATTTATATTACCGCTTCGTTTGAACGAAAGTTTACGATTCTGTAGATTACACAACTCTGTAAATTACGATTTTGCTATAAATTACGAATAGCAGAGCTGAATGTTGCAATGTAAAACTATATTTGTTCTGTGAATCTAATAATCAATATATTGTAAAGAATCTATCAAACTATAATAAGATAAAATTATTAATATTTCTAGTATGAGATAAAAGTTTCATTTTCACATGTTTCTCATCATTTTCTCAACGAAAAGCTCTCAAAATCTTGTAATCAACTATCTTATTTAATAAATTATTCTTTTTTAAAAAGCAACTTCTTCTGTTTAAATACTGAAAGTCTCATCTTCATTCCTTTTTATCGCGTAACTATTACAATAATATGTTCTAAAATTATTCATAATCCTAAAATTTAGCGCATTTAGGAAATCCCTAGAATTTCCTCTAAAGCCCGTATTAGACTGTAGATTATGACTTCTGCCCATAGAACGCGGCAACGCTTGCCGCGCGGAGGAAGTTAGCGTGGTAGCCAATCAACATGTCGTTTTTCGGTAAGAAGTAAAAGTTTATTAGCTACCGCACGAACTTCCACCGTGCGGCAAATATTTCCGCGTCCTGTAGGCAGAAACCATTAGGATTGGGATTGAATTAAAATTTCGCCAATCAGAGCAAGATTCACTAAACTTGAGTTTAACGAACCTTGTTCTAATTGGTTAAATTACAATCCAATCTTAATTCTAATTCGTAGTCTGATACATCCCTGAAAGGCGGGAACGTTACATTTCTACAAACATACATTCCTAATTAGTGTAGTCAGTTCAGTTAAAAAGAACAGACCGAATGTGTATGCATATTTTTTGAACTAATGCAGCCAGTGTAGCTAAAAAGAAAAGATCAATTATTGATAGTTGAAGAGCATATACATGTCAGAGTTTTTAAATGTTTATAAACAACGCAATGCTTTCCAAGTATCTTTGGTTATCGCTCTTACCCGGGATTGTATATTTTTTATACTCGCTCGATTTTATCAAGGAAATAAACACACACTTAGCAGATGGAACGTTAAATGTAGTTGACATAATATATTTTGGATTAAATGAAAATTCTGCTGGGCAGAAGATATTCACCACGAATGAATTGAAACGATACACGAATTTGGAGAACGGTCTGTATCTTTCAATTTTGGGCAAAGTTTTTGATGTAACAAAAGGTCAAAAACATTACGGACCTGGAGGGAACTACCATGCTTTCACTGGTAAATATAAATTTCTTGTACTAAATACAATTTATCATACCTTATATATAATTATCTGATTATAGGTCGGGATGCTTCCTTAGCATTTATTACTGGAGAATTTGATGATAATGGCTTAACTGATGACGTATCTAGTTTGTCTGTGCGACAAGTTAAGGCACTGAATGATTGGGTACAATTTTATAACACGAACTATATTTATAAAGGTACAATTACTTAAAGTACTATGGAACATAAAGTTGACCTACAGTTGACCTACTTTTTCCAATAATTTTGTCTTAAGAATTAGATGATTTTTATTAGTCTATTTTAAAAGAATATAGAAAGGTATATTTTATTTTACAGCTAGAATTTATTATAAAGGAAATTAAATACATGTATATATATATTATATATATATATATATATTATATATTTATATATATATATATATATATATACATAAAGATAACATATGAATCAACTTGAATATAATATGATCTAAAATACTTTGTATTCTTTAGGGAAATTATATGGTAGGTATTATAATCAAAATGGTAGCCCAACTGCAGAATCTCATAAAGTACAAGAGAAAGTATTGCTTGCTGAAAAAGAGAATTCATTGGAAGAAAAGCAGAAAAGGATGTTTCCACCCTGTAACGTAGAATGGAATCCAGATACTGGTACTATATTCTGGTGTACTAAAAGAAGGTAGGTGCATATTTAATATATATGTATATTGATTATATATTAAAGGTTTTTAATAAAGCATAACACAATTTACTTTATGTTTACCAGTGGTGGACTAGATAGAGATTGGGTGGGAGTACCAAGGATGTTCTTTGAGACTGCAAATATGCAATCATCTAGATGTGCCTGTGTTAAACTAGATAGTAAAGAATACGAAGAGAACAAGGCTATGTTAAGAGAATATATCGGCTGTGCAAAGCTTGCAACAAAATGCATTGTAGAAATTAAATAGAACATATATAATACAAATATTAATTAATACACAGCATCTCTATATTTGCATAAATACTTGTATTTTATTTTTATAAGATAATATGTGTATATAAAGATAAAAATCTTAAGATAATTGTATATAATTTTTTTTGCTTATCTTATTCTAAGACCTTGCTCTGAATTTGTAAGTTTATATCTGTTTAAATCAATACTTTTTATAATTTAATACAAAGTATAACAAAGAGTACAAAGAGTACAAAGTTTTATAACAAAACTATAAATGTAAGAGCATAATATCATAGAAATATCAGAAACACATTTGTTTCAATCGATATGTCTTAATATAATAAGATATATAATGTACAAAATGGGACATGCGTGGAAGTAAAAAAAAAAAAATTGAGAATGGCAGTTTATATTTTCAAACTGAAAAATATTTTACTAAAATCTTTATATTTTCAGTCTTTTCGTCCCAATCTTACTATGTATCAAGAACAGTGTAGTACTATGTATCAAGAACAGTGTAGTACTATGTATCAAGAACACTTTTTCCTATGTATACTGCACAAACTAAATATACTTATGGAAACTAGTAGTTTTCATCGTTATCTAAATTAATAAAT